ATATATTGATTATTGTGACAGGCCTAGTTTTTAATTGGCTGTGATTGTGTCTCGTCGCTTTGCATTTTCTCTGTCAATGAAGATAAGTTGTTCTTCCAATGTTTTGACAGTACTGCTTTTGCAGCCTCTAAATCGCAGTGAGATTTGCGATGCACTAGTGAAGCGGCATGCTTTGTTTTGTCTCATCTAGTTGTGTTTTTGAAAGTGGAAAAGCTCTAAATATTGTAGATCCCATTTACAACAGTTTAACATCATCCAATTGTAATTAGGTCAACAAAAATGCATCTTAACACCAAGTGTAAACAGGACCTCAGTAACACAATGCAAAAACACGCAGCATTCGTAGTGTTACGACAAGAGGCACTATGGTCAGTTTCCTGTTTCACATGCGGTTTATTGACGCAAACATCTGATGTTTATTACTGCTACAGAACCCAGCATAAGTATTTATATCAGGACGTCGTGCTTGCAATGCTTTTGCCAAAGCATTTGTGTACTTGTGTAGAGTACTATACTGATTCTTCTTTCAAAGCGAAGCGTGATAGACAAGATAGGAGTGAGTGTTTGAAGCCTGTGTGTCGGCAGATAGAAGCAGAACCACAGAAATCCTTTTATCTAAACTAGCATTCCTCATGTAACGTACACATCTTGCAGAGGATTGCATCAACCACTTAACCAGTATGCAATGACACTGCCAATGTGAGTTAAACGCTGCCAAAACACACTTCCTTTCTTTTCATTTTCAAAAGGGCTGAAGAAGTTCTTAGTGTCCCTCCAAAATAAGACGTGCAATTTAGAAGTTAACTAAAGAAAAAGAGCAGAAGCAGGAAAATATAACGCAAGTCATGTGATTGTTTGTGCGTCTTTGGCTTAGTGTGTGTGTGTGTGTGTGTGTTTGTGTGCGTCTGTCGCTGTCTGTATTTGTGTATGTGTTGAGGATTTGGATTACAGCGGTCATTCGATTGATTCCTTATCGTGCTTATGCTGCCTTCAAGTCTTCCTGCGAAATACAGCATGATTTTAGTTGAAATAAAATAGTCATAAAATTAACTTCAGTAAGTTTTTGCGACAAAATAAAATACAAATACCTGGATTTCCACACATCGACACATTTTTAAGTGAAATTTGGGGTATTACATTAAATTCTTGAATGAAAACGGCAAGAAAATGGCATTAAAAGCATATAAGCTCACTTGAGGAGGATACATTTTTTATACGGTAAAATTATGGAAATTACTAACATTTGCTAAATATATTAGATCCACATCAGAAAATTAATCTAGTATTCATTTTAATTATTTTTGTGTAACAGTATATATAATTAATTTTTAATATGCACACCACTATTTTATTGTATACTGCACATATATATATATATATATATATATATATATATATATATATAC